ATGTACACACCAGCAGCTCTAGTGACAGGATCCATGTAGTCTTGCTCACAAGTTGAGAACTAACTAAAGCAGGCGAATGCTGGTGATTACCAGAGGCCAAGTCATTTATCTCTTTGCCCTCCACTCAAACTGCGACTTTATTAATCCCACATATTCCTATTGGTCCACCAATAAACCTACCGATCTCACAATTCATCTTGGTGAGGGTCTTCTTTTTCCTTCTTTGACCCTCTACTTTACCAAGCATCATGCCCTCTTCCAGTCTCTCCTGAAAACATGTCCAAAGTATATGAGATGAAGCTATCTCACCACCATCTCTTCTAAAGAGTCTTCTGTCTATACTCCCTCCAAGACTAATTTGTTTACACTTCTGGCGTTCCTTGATATGTTTTCATATTCTTCACCAGCACATGATACAAATGCACTAATTCTATTTCAGTCTTCCATTGTCATAATCCAGCTTTCTCAAGTATATGATTCTATTGAAAATAGTACGACTTAGGTCAGGGACACCTGCCTTCTTCGTGTGACACCGTTGCTCTTTAAAACATTAAAGAGTTCTTGTCCAGCAGATTTGCACAATGCAATACTTCATTTGATTTCTTGATTGCTAATTCCATAAGCATTGATTACGGATCCTAGTAGAATAAAAGGGTTGACATTTCTCCATGCATCATGATGTTGTCAATTGGCCAAGTTCTGAGGATGTTGATTTTCTTTACATCTGTAGTTGCAATCCATACTGCAGTCGTCTTCAGTCTTGATCTTCATCAGCAAGTACTGCAAGTCCTCCATGCTTTCAGCAAGCAAGCTTGTGCCCTCTACATATCCTTGTTAATAAGTTGGGTAATAAGCTGTTTCCCAATCCTGATGCTGCGTACTTCTTCATATAACCCCGCTTCTCACATTGCTTGCTGACCAAACCGGTTAAATAAATAGAGTGAATGTACAGTGTTTCTAACATTAAACCATATAGTATTCTCTTTCTCTGTTCAAATGGTTTACAGGTTCTCCATGAGCACAATTTAATTGTGCTGGAATTCCCATTCTTCATTATATTATCCATAATTTATTATGATACCCATAATCAAATAACTTTGAATTGTCAATAAGACACAAAAATGTTTCTGGTATTCTCTGCTTTCATCCAAGATACATGTGATGTGAGCAATGAATGCCTACTTCCACATTCTCTTCTGAATCTGCTTGGAATTCTGCATTCTATTGCTGTACTGCTGCAGCTGGTTTTGAATTGTCTTCATGCCAGTGTTATTAATGATATTGTGTGATAAATTCTGCATTCAATTGGGTCAACTTTCTTTGGAATGAACACAAATATGGATCTCTTCTAGTCAGTTGGCCAGGTAACTGTCTTCCAAATTTCTTGGAATAGATGAGTTAATGGTTCCAACATTTCATCAG